TGACAGGTTTTATTAAAACTGACTATAATATGGGATGAAAGGAAGGAGGTTGTGTAAGGAGTTGGAAGGAGAAAAATATTTTTTATAGCTTGTGATTATAAAGTTTCAAAAGACACTAGCCTGGCTAATATCGCCTACATAAAAAAATTAATTAATTAATTAAAAAAATAAAAACAAACAAAAAACAAACAAACAAACAAAAAACAACAAAAAAAAAAGCCTGGAAAAATAACTGCCCATTTATAAGCCAACAAAGTAATAAAAATCAGCAGTATTATATAGGCTTACAAGTACAAAACTCTGATCCTGCTCTCACTAACTTTCAAGGTTGATCAGGCAGAATGATAAAGGGAGGAGAAATTTCTCAAGCAGAGAGGATAATAGCATACCCTTCTATATTACTTACATTTTATATCCAGCCCTGCCATTGACTTACTATATGACCTTGAGTAAGTCATTTCATCTCTATGTGTCAATTTTTTCATTTATAAAGTAGGATAATAAATACTACTTTCTGTCTCTCTCCTGGGTGATGTTATTACCACTATCAATTAATATTTATTGAATGCCTGTTGGATGCATAATGCTGAGGTAAAAGCTTCATTTGGGGAGTACTGAGGAAGGCCAGAGGAGATTATATCAGTGAAACATTTTCCATGAGCAAAAAAATAGAAGATTTACAAAAGACAGAATTATTAGAGTTTAAAATAACTAAGGCTTATATTTTAAAGCATGCTTCATGGCCAAGATTTATGTAATAACATTTTTTTCTTAGCTATTGTATAGTGCACCAGGATAATGATGGTGCAGAATACCGGTTTTACTTTTGGGTGATTCCAAGTAACACTATCTTAAGAATTTCTGTACTTCTTTTATCTAGCTGTAAATTATATTCTAAGCATAATTTATTTAGGAATATTTATTTGATATTGATGGTATTGTATCTACTTTATCTACTATTCCCTTTATTTTAAAAAAACAACTTTTTTACACATTAAACATGTAACACTATTAACACATTTCAGCTGAAACTAAACCGTTAATGCTGGTCAGTCCACACAAGTCGGCCCAAACGAATGAGAATTCCCTGTTCTCTCCAAATCCATCCTGTTTTCCCATTTTTCTGTCATGTACCTAACTCAGACCCTATTATCTCTCATATGGACTATTCAAAGATTCTCTGACCTTGTTTCTTTCACTCAGCTCACGTCCTTTTACCGTGTATCCTCCAAAGGAGTTTTCAAAAGAAAATCTGTGACTAAACAAAATATTGGTTTATACATACAAAATATTATTCAGCCTTAAAAAAGGAATGAAATGCTGGCATATACTACAACATGGATAAATCTTGAAGATATTACACTAAGTAAAATAATTTAGGCTCACAAAAAAACAAATATTGCATGATTTCTTCTATAGAAGGTACCTAGAATGAGCAAATTCATAGAGACAGAAAGTCAGTGATGGTTACCAGGGCTGGGGAAGAGAATAATGGGGATTATTGTTTAAAGGGTGCATAGTTTCTATTTGAGACAATAAAAAAGTTCTGCAGATAGCGGTGATGATTGTACAAAATTATTAATGTACTTGCTGCCACTGAGTTGTATACTTAAAAATGGTTAAACGGTTAAGTTTTGTTATGTATACTTTATCACAATAAAACGAAAAATTTTTAAGTAAATCTGGTCCTGTCACTTTCTGACTCAGAAATAATAATTATTTATCGAATAAAGTCCAAACTGCTTGGAATGATGGTAATAATCCTTCAGAATCAAAGCTCCAGCTTATCTTTCCAATATTATCTTTGATATATCTACACCACAAAGCCAACTTTCAATCACACTGGCAAAGTGAGGGTCACTGAATCTGAGCCTTGCTTTGCTCCTCTATTCCTAAGCTCTCCAAGCTCTTTAGCCTGGAATACATGCTCTTTGCTTCTACTCCCTTTCTCCTGGTTGTGGAAAACTTATATATCCTTTGACGCTCAACTCAAAACAAATTGCTCTGTGAAGCCTCCATACCAATATCAGAATTAATCATTTCCTCCTTTGAATGGTCTAGTCACAATATGTCTTCTAATTATTTATAAACTCTAACTATAATGTGAGTTCTTTAGTGGCAAGGGTAATTTTTGTTTGTTTATCTTTCCATGCAATGGTGATTACAGAGCAGGGACTAGAGGGAGGCAAGTGGAGGTCTCATGGCACAAAATTTATATAATCCTGAGAGTGAAATTCCTCTTCTATTTTATGCGCTAGTGGCCTCATTTGCCTTATTCTAGTTTCAGCTCTGATGATTAACAGTTTCCTTGATGTTAGTAGGTGCTTATAATGCATTGTATTCATTATCTGCTATGGTATAACTAATTTCCCCAAATCTTAGAAGCTTAAAAATAAACATTTATTATTTTACAGTTTCTGAGGGTTAGGAATTTGGGAGTAGCATAGATTGATGATTCTGACTTAAGATCTCTAATGAGGTTGCAGTCAAAGACATTAGTGGGGATTGTGGTTGGTTATCTGAAGGCTTGACTGGAATGAAAGCGTCAGGTTCCCAGGTGGTTCATTTATATGGTTGTTGGTGGAAGGCTTTAGTCCCATGACATGTGGGCCGCTCCATCAGAGCTGCTCGAGTGTCCTCACAACATGGCAGCTGACTTCCCTTAGAGCAAATTATCCAAGAGAGGGGCAAGGCAGAAGCTATGATGTCTTTTATGTCCTAGCCACAGAAATCACACACTTTCATATCCACAGTGTCCTATGGTTACACAGGTCAGCCCTAAGTGAGAGAGGAGACCACACAGGATATGAATACCAGGAGGAGGCAGTGATCTTTGGGGACAATCTTAGATCGTCCCCAGCCATGGTGGTTAGATTACTTGGAGGCAGACCAGTATTACTTCTGGAATCTGTTATTAATATCTTCTGAAGTTGCCTTTTGTCTTTTATTTTTAAATCATTGAATAATAAAATTGCTAACTTTTTACAGATGGAAAATATGTCTGAGTCATTTTTTGATCCTCCATTAGTAGTATAGTGTTTTGCACTCAGAGGCAGCCGGATTAATGTATACTATCCAGAAAGGCTGTCATTTTCAATAGGTATTCATTTATAACTAGAGCTTACTGGATTGGCAAATAAAACTAGAAATAATAGAGCTAATAACTACAACCCTGCTTAGAGCTCAAGGCCAAGCTTGGAAAAGCATGAGATCACAGGAAATGTGTAAGCGATGATTGTTTCCTTTTTTCTATAAATGCATAAAGCTTTTATTATTATTATTATTACTGTTATCTAGCCCCAAGCATTCCTGTCATGTAGTCATAATATAGTGCAGTGGCTCCGAAGGGAGAATTCTATCTTCCCCTCCTACTAGCCGTGTGGCCTTGACAATATTTTTTAACTTTTCTGTGACTTAGTTTTCATGTCTGCAAAATGAAATGATGGATAGTGCTACCTCTTAGGTTTGTTGTGAGTATTAAATAAGGTATATCAAGTAAAGTATTTAGCACTATGCTCAATAAATGTTAACTAATATTATTAGTATTTGTGTATATATTTGTTTTCAGACATTAATCTTATAGATTCCCAATGACTTTTGCTCTCATCGTTCTTCCAGCTTAAAACTAAAAGTCTTGCCCCTCTCCCATCACGATAATTTAATCTTTTCTTCAAGAAATAAGTTAAGCAGTTTTCTTGACCATGAATGTGTCTATTTGTCCCCAGCGCTCTAGTGTTCAATAACACCACCCCTTCTCCAAAACTCCCTGAGCACAATCAAATCCTGTATTGTCTTATTTTGTTTTGTGTCTTGGACCCTTCATTCCCCTTCCCTGTAGAGGAGAGATTTTCTATAGCTCACTATGAGAACCTCACTATAGAGGTTCACTATGAGAACTTCAATATAGAGGTTCTCATAGCTCACTATAACCCTGGTACGTATAGTTTATTGGTCAATAGAGGCCTGTTAATGATGAAGCTATACCATGCCTAACATAGCATTGCTTATAATTAGATTTGTAATAAATGCTTCTTTATCACAAGCTGTGAACAGATTGTATTGTTATCACATATAGGTTAGGAGTGTGTTTTCATTTATATTGATTCAAGTTACAACTCTGAACGTGATTGTGTTTTATTTAGGAATAAAAACACAATATTTTAAGGTTCTAAAAAAGTCTAGATTTTAAAAATTCATAATTTTCTTCTTTTCTTTCTTTCTTTTTCTTTTTTCTTACAACAGAAAAGAATAGCTTTATTGGAAAGGAAAGTAAAGCAGCAGTATACTTCCAGATGTGGAAGCAGGTCTGGGCAAAAGAAGAGTGACTCAAAAGACCATAATTTTTTTTTCTTAATCCTGGAGTAGAAAGGAGATAGAAAAATGCAAGTCTGATTTAATGATCTATCAGTACTAACAATGCAAGTTTGATTTAATGATCTATCAGTACTAACAATTTTAACTACAATACCAGATTTGGAAGCAGTCTACTTCACACGGAAAGATATGCTCTATTTTAGAAAGCTAGGAAAACAAGAATAGCATTGTTGACTGCCAGGTTTGAGCCAGATGATTTATATCCATTAATTAATCTAATCCTTACACTAATGCACTGTTATTGTGTTACTGTGTTATTATAATTAGGCCTCTTTACATACAAGAAAAACTAAAGCTCAGAGAAATTAAACAACTTTCCCTCAAAAGTGATAGAGCTGAAATTTGAATCCAGGTCTGTGGGCTCCCATGTATGTATAGAAGCTCTGAAGATCTCCATCCACCATATAGCACTGGCTTTCATGCTGTACCATATACAGTTCACATAGTGTGGTGACAGTACAATGGTGGCAAAAGACTTAGGAACAGGCATATCCCTCAAGCCATAGCTTTTCCAGGGTTTCCTTCTCAGGCACCCATTCTCCCAAAGACCACAGTGTCTCTGTAAGAGGAAACATTGATGTAAACTTGCCCTAAAAGATGCTGTGCTCTTGAATTCTGAATTACAGGAGCATTGGGAGCACCATTTTTGTTGGAGGACCCAGCAAACCAGTTTCTACATCTCAAAAGGCACATATATTTGCAGGATTACTGGGACCCAGATCACAGTCCGAATATGTGGGAAAACACACTGGCTGATCAGGTATTTGCATTAGAAACAAATGGCCCTTCATTATATATCTTTTCAAACAAGCATCACATCAGCTGACATTAACACCAGCCTAGCCCTGATTTTTCCTCTCCATCTGCCATGAGCTATACCTGCCCTTTGATCTCCACAAAATGCCTTTTGTCTGGTAAGCTCCACCTCTTCCTTTCGAGACTGAGATCAAATGTCTCCTTTCGGAAGCCTTTCTCTTCTTTCCAGGGAGGCATTTTTCTTTCTTTCTTGTCTCTCCTTTGCATACTGTCACATGTGAATAGCTCACAAAATGTCACACTGGAGTTATTTGTTTCATGCACCCAACCTCCCCTACCTAGGCTACAAAGGTAAGGTGCATGTCTTATCCATCAAAATAATTATCCTCAGGAGCTACCCAAATGACTGTTATATAGTCAAGTCTTAGTACATTATTACATGTTTGGGTAAATGAATGGATAGGTCATGGTCACATTTTAGATCCCTCTCAGTTGTTCAATAGTTAATTTCCCTCTGTGATAATTATCCAAGCCTTTAATGTCAATTCTTCATTTGCTTACTTTTTGGACATTTTCCTATTCATTTGTATTCTCACTCCAAAAGAAATAAAGAAGAAACTTGCATTAGCCGGTTTTATTCCATGTTTACCTTTTTGATAGACAAAGATATTGAAACTCCAAGTCAAATAAAATTGCTGAATTATCTGAGGATTTCAATTAGTCATGATTTCCCTCTTACAACTTAACAATTTAGAAAACAAAGATGTATGACAAATTAATTCCTTCACTGATTCATTCTATTTTTTTCCCACATATATGAGGCTCTCACTACCACCAAGCATGAGGGTTGTAAAAAGTCATTTAAAAATTGAATGTCCTTGTTTTTCTGGGCCCTGGGTCCTACCCTTACTTCACATGGCTGAGTTTTAACTGGTCTACCAGGATCAGCCTGGTTCTGTTTAGCATTCGCCAATGAAAACCACCAGCTTGAATAATGCATCAAGTTTTATGCCTATTTTTCTCCAACATGCATAATTTAGAGGTAGTAAAACAAAACATTTGTTTATTTGGCAAATTTAAAAATTACATAGAATGGAAGGCTATGTCTTCTTTATGGAATATTCAAATTTTCAAGTATACTCCTGACTATAATTGTAGACCAGCACTGGGATCAACTGACAGATACTGTAATGTAACAAGACTACCACATTGGTTCATACTGTGGCCCCACGAATATTGCAAAAACATTTCAGCACTGAAGTAAATAGATTACTAATAAAGTATGAAAACCAAACCTTAATTGGTATTATTCTTCCATTCTATTTCTCTGTCTTTTAAGAATATCTGTGTGGTAATGAGAATAACTGATACAACATGTGTTCTACACGCTCAGAGATCATGACTTGAGTTTCCTTTTGTTGCAGGCTCGTGAAACATGGACTGCTTTGAAAACAACAGCACAGTATTATCTTAACATGAATATCTTCACCTCTGACATGTCTAATACTTAATAAATGTGCTTTGCTACTTAAACTAAAAGAGCAAAAACCATGGGAGTCAGCGTGGCAATATACCAAAATTGTGAGCTTTGTAAACCTGAAAATAAATATATATCATTTACTAGATTATTTATGGTCTGTCTTATGAGCTGTTTAAAAGAGTAAATGTAAAAATTCATGTACAGACCTAGAATTACAAGTTTTCCATAGATAGTAGATAAAATGAGAAATAAAATAAAAAAGACTGTAGTAATAACATTTACCAAGAAAGGGCTTTTACTGGAAAAGAAAATCAAAAAGAAAAATGCAATGTCATTAAAACTATTCATAGCTGTTGCTTTCTATTGCCTCTTCTTTGTTAGTTCACTTTTTAATTCAAGGAAGAGAGATCTCTCAAATGGAGCTTGTCCTTTCCTCTTTTCTTCAATATTTGTCACTGTTTAAAGCTGGTCTATTTTAAGACAATGCTTCTGAAAAGTTTTCATCAAAGATATATTGCTGAGGGCAGTAGAGGAAAAAATCCAACTCATATTGAGGAGTGGATGATGACTGGGAACCCACTGAAAGCCACTCATCTATAAGTGCAAACTTCCATAGAAGTTTTATAAAATTTGTGCAAGTTTTGTATTCTGGGCCACAATACACTAATGATGTTTATTTTGATATGAAATTAAAAAAATAACTTAATAACCAGAGGTGTTTATTCATCTTTTTTCGATAAAACTGAAAAATTGACTCTTAAGAAAAGTAGACTACACCTAACCTATAGTTTTCCATGTAACCATGGAATACCACTTTAGTACTCTAGTTTGAGAAATACTACGATGTTATAATCAATCACCAATATTCTCTCCACCCCAAATCACAAATGAGTAGAATTTTTGTCTACAAAAGTATATTTCTCTATATATACCTAGGTCAATTTCTCCAGGGGACTCTTTTTTTGGTAAACAGAAGCATCCCTCCAAGATCATAGTTGGTCTTATGTGTTCTTATAGCCATTTTAAGCACTTTTTCAGTAGCAGGTTTATCAGTAAAATCAGATACCAAGAAGCTGCACTGTAAAGACTTTAGTCTAGACACTGGCAGCTACACAGTATTCACCATTTCTTATCTCACTCCCTAGAAACGTTTTCAGTGAAAAATTTAAGGCTAATGCATAATTTATTACATAACTATTATCCATTTCCAATATGTAAAATAGATTTTTAAAAATCAAACACAATAGGTCCTTCTCACTCTCTGCCTCTGAGAAGAGACCATGCTCTGTCTGTGGAGTGTTACTCGTTTTCTATTAAACTTTCCTGTTGACTCTAACTTTGACACGTGTGTTGAATTCTTTCTACTCTCTACGCCAAAGGACCCTCTTCTTCTCTCAGCACAGAGCCTGGTCTTCTTCTCCTTGTGTAAATTGGCCCTGTCCTGCATTACCCTGACTGGGCTCCTCCTCAGACAAGAACTGGCTGAGTGCCACCTGGGATGCCAAATGCATCCCCACTTTTCTCTTCTCCAACTGCCCCACTGTAGCCTTTACTGTGTTGTGCAAACTTGCTCTATCATACCCACCCCATCCTCCTCACCGCTGTCTCCAGTGCAGCTCCTTACTGACCTAGGAGACAATAAACAAACAAACAAACAAACAAACAAACAAACTGCAATAGACGAAAGAAGATGAATCATTTGGTTTTGCACTAAGAAATATGTATGAGATTATACAAAACATATCTTCAGAGTTTTAATAATAACATACATTTTGCTACCACAAAGTTCTACTCTTTGATCATTTAATATAAAATTAGAGAATGCCTCTGTATTGGTCAGAGTTCTCCAGAGAATCAAAATCAATGTGATATGTGTGTGGGGGCGGGGGGCGGGTGGAGAGAGAGAGAGAGAGAGAGAGAGACAGAGAGAGAGAGAGAGAGAGAGAGAGAGATTTATTTTAAGAAATTGGCTCATGTAGTTATGGAGGCCAACAAGTCTAAAAACTGCAGGATAGGCTGCCAGCCTGGAGACCAGACAAGAACAAATGCTGCAGTTTAAATCCAAAGGCCAACAGGATAAAGACCCAGAAAAAAGCCAATGTTGCATTTTAATGCCTAAGACCATCTTCTAGCAGCAACCCCTCTTGCTTGAGGAAGGTCAGTCTTTTGTTTTATTCAGGCCTTCAGCTGATTGGATGAGGCCACCCACATTATGAATGGCAATCTGCTTTACTCAAAGTCCACCAATTAAAATGTTATTCTTATCCAAAAACACCCTCACAGAAACATCCAGAACAATGTTTGACCACATATCTGAGCACAATAGTCCAGCCAAGTTGACACATAAGATTAACCATTTTAAGTTATTAAAACCTATTTTAAGTTATTTAGATGGTCTACACACACATACACACACACACACACACACACACACACACACACAGCTGTGATTGGAGCAACATAGAGCAGATAAAAAGAAAAGAATTTGAATTCATTTGTTTTGATTAGTACAGTGAAAGAAAAAACTGAGTAGATTGCAGGCCCCTAATAATGTAAAATTGTAAGTTGATTTTAATTCAGGTAACACTGAGAAGCATTTCTTCAATTAGCTGGTTATCTCATCAAACAAGTATGGAAAGGAAGTTTCTTATCGAAACATAATTCCATGAGAAATTATTGGGAATTTATGTGATATGAGAAAACAAATAAAACAAAACAACAAAGCAAACAACCTAGGTCTATGTAAAATAATTTATCTGGAAATCTAGTGCTTATCTTCCACACAGCTGAGCAGGAAGTGGTAGCTATTTAGTTTTTATAGACTGGATTTGAGAAAACCCAGGTACCACCTATTTAGTGTTTATATGCAAAATTACGTTAGACCAGAATTCTGAATTCAATGTTTAAAGAAATTGTTTGTATTGAAATACCAATTATCTGGCTGACTCTATTCAACTGATTGTTTTCAACATGGTAGCGAGTTGACATAACTGACTTAAATTTGTTTTAAGTCAGTATCCAATTTATAAACCCTATGTAAAATTCTCCCTATTTGAAGACTAAAGACTTTTCAACATTTTTAAGAACCCTGAACAAATTTTAGCAATCTGGACAATATTAGGAAAAATTAGAATAATGCACACAAAGTACGGTGCTTGGCATGTAAGTAAACAATCGATAAAAGTTAACTATTATTATTAGCTTGCCTAAATTTACATGAAAATTCGTGCTTTTTTCTCTATATCACAATGTAGCTCCAGCATTCTTTGTCCAGAATTCAAAGCTCCCCATGATCTGGCCTTTCTCCTATACTTCATTTACTCCTCTCACATACTCTTGATACCTTCATCATTTATTGGCTTATTTATCCACTTATTTAACAAACAATGTTGTCAGCTTTCTTTAGCCTTGTCATGTGGGGGTAACAAAGAACACCGAGACACAGTCCTTTTAATTCAATAAGAGAGATAAGCATACACTGTATTTATACAGAGGATGAATTATAGAGACTTAAATTACAAATCATGTGTGCACCAAGGATACACAGAAGATTTACTCAGCTTAGGAGATTTGGAGGAGTCAGGGAAGTCTTCGCTGAAGAGATGGCTTTAGATTTAGACTTCAAAGGATGCATAAGAATAACACGCTATCACTATAATTACAGTTTTTCTATTTAGTATATTTTCTATTTATAGGATACTTATAGTATATACTTATATTATTATTATTATTATTATTATTATTATTGTATATATTTATACTATTATAGTATAAGCTTTTTAAGGGCAGGACTTACATGAGATTTACATTCACAACTCTAACAATACCCAGGACAGTGCTTGATACACAGCAAAAATTTGATGAAGAAATGGGTACTGTTGAGGAGGGTGCCTGTCAGAGAGGTAGATGGTATTCACAAGATTTTCCTCTTACCCTTCCTTTGTTGTAGACTGAATGTGTCCCTCCAAACTTCATTTATAACATAATCTCCAATGTAATAGCATTTAAAGGTGGGATCTTTGAGAGATGATTAGGTCATGAGAGTGAAGTCCTCATGAATGACGTTAGTGACCTTATAAAAGAGATCCTGCAGAGCTCTCTCACCCTTTCTGCCATGTGGGCACACAGCAAGAAGACAGCTGTCTATGAACCAGGAGGCAGGCTCTCACCAGACACTGCATCTGTCAACACCTTGATCTTAGACTTGCCAGCCTCCAGTACTGTGAGAAATAAATTTCTGTTCTTTATAAGCCACCCAGTTGATGGTGTTCTGTTATAGCAGCCTCAGAAGACAAAGATACCTTATATCAGTGGCAGGACAAACAAATAAGATGCAATATAATTTATCCACATGTTGTCCAGTGAGCCAATGAAAGAACTGAATAAGAACTCAATAGTATTTTTTCATTTCTGGTCTTTAGTTTATCCACACAGCAGACCCAATCTAAAAAGACATCCACTCTCCTGTACCAATTCATTGTAATTTAAATAGAATAACTAATGGATGGGAATACTGTACATATGGAACAGATTTTTAAAAAGGTATTTATTTTCACGTGTTGATTTGACTTATTTTATTTATTTTCCTTAGATTGCTCTATAATATTTTAAGCAACTGAACCAGACAGAGAATATATTTATATATATCACACTGTTATCTCCAATGATAGCAACAGCCTGAATGAATTTTATTGAAAGTAATTTAGCATTGACTGGTTAAAGATACAAACTACCCATCTGACGCAGAGACATTGACAGACTCCTTCACATCAGAGAAAAAAATAAATAAATGTTTGGAGATTACATCACAAATTAGAACTGTCTTGGAAGACAGGTCAAATGTAAAAATAAAATAAGTTATTTGAATTAAATGTATTTTATTCCATCCATCAAAGTGACAAAAGCAGTTGCATTATCTTCTTCTGACCATAATGTTAGAAAAGAAGCTAATTATTTTTTAACAGTCAGAAAAGATATGCCTTCTTAGCTCTACACCTTTTTACTCCATCAAAAGTTAATTTTTTAAATTAA